AGTTGATGTCATAACTTGCAAAGCACGCAAGTTGTGGATAAGAGTTGCAATGACAAGTTCTTCATTATATGAAAAAAAACCCAAGTAATAAAACCTGCTTTTTTTTTCATACATGGCACCCAGTTATTTCATGTGTGCATCCTAGTAAGCGAAAATGGGAAAGTTCCCTGTTTTAGTTCCCTTACCATCCAATATTCTGTGTGCTTGTCATATGCCTTCACTCCTGTCAGCCCTTTTTGTAAGTGAAGATTTCACTTCTTTTCATAAAGAACCTGCTACATTCCTTTCATCATCACTATTATCCTTCCCTGTACTACTGCTAGATCTGCTACAACCTTTGAAAGATACACAGAAGTACCACAGCTGTATACTCTAACATGATATGTGCTGATTTATTTCCCATTTCTCATTTTAAAACCACCTCACTAGACACAAGTCTGCAAGTGCTGACAATAATCTGCCTTGTACTCAGAATAATAAAATAATCTGCCTCATATTCAAAGAAAACTCCTGATCTTAAATGTCAGGGTTTGCAACCTCAAGACAGCAATTTCTAGGTTGAGGTGGCCAAACAATCACCAGCCAACTACTTATGTGAAGATAGTTCTTCCTCGTGTCCACCTGCTCAGCAGTATCAGAAAATAACTGAGGATATTCATTAAACATATTCTTCACCTGAAATACCTCACATGAGCAATTGCTTTAATTACTAAAGGGATGAAAAGTAATTACAGAGGAAAATTCTGCAATCTCAGTCTAGGCAAGAAATACCCAAGGGAAAGTCATCATTATAACATCATCCATGTGTTGCAAAAGCCAGTTGAGGAATCCTTGGTGCCGTTGGCTCCCTTCCATCTAAAGTCTTGCTAGATGTACAGGGCACAGCCAGACGACCAAGCACCTTCCCTGCCTTGGTTTTGAACATGACACGTATGGGTCTCCCACCACAGATGCGTCTCCTTTGAGAAACTGGAAAGTCGAGATCCCTTTATGGTATAGTGGATGAGTTAAGCATGTTCCAGTACGACAGCACATCAAGAAGCCGAGGCACGACGGTCTGCAATTAAATAATGCTTTATATTGGTTCATGACAACGTAACATCAAGGCAACAGCACCTGCCATTTTCACGCAAAATAATTTACATAAACTTATTCCTCTACTTCCGTATCTCCAGCTGCATTCCATAATTTATACAGACATACAGATTCTTCCCTCTGACATTAACAAGAGAAACAAGTTGAATAATCAGCTCGCAGTATTAAGTGCATTGCATTTACTATCAAGCAAGCTTTTTTAGTTCAGCAGATGATTAATCTTCCCTCTGCGGGTAGAGTACCAGGGGATGCAGAGAGCTGACAACTGCTCTCGGCTTCTGGCCATGCTCTCCATACGCTTACCTTGCAACAACAGCATTTGCTGGATCCCTCCAAGAGCTGCTCTAATTCATTAACCCAGCAAAAGAATTGGACAGCTTTCTGCCAGGTCAGTGAATTAAAGTGGCTCACGTAAGGAATGCCAGAGCCAGTAAATAGGAGTGGGAGTTTGCGCTTGGAGCCAGATATCTCTTTTCTGACAGCAGTGAATCTTTTAGATCAGCTCAGCTGCCAGAGGTACTGCAGCCTAATTAGCATCTCCCCTTGCAGCTAACTATGCTGGGTGTCTCCATTAGGGATAAGAGCACTAAAGTAAACCAAGAAGGGGGAAGGGGGAAAAAACCAGGCGACCCAGCACTGTAAGCAGTGAAATGCAGAGTGTCAACTGTTTAAGAGACAGGCTGCAACAGGCAGACCAAGTAGACCAAATATGGTCCGGTACCTCAGTCTATTTTTAATCCAGTTCTTTCAGCTGTGCTTTGGGACAGTATCAAGAGAAAGGACAGATGCCTGGAGATGAAGTATGAGAGATCTGCATGCCAGGCAAGAAACAAAGCCCCACAGATGAGGCTTGATCCTAAAATAAAAAAAAGATTCTAAAATATGAAGTTGTTTGTATTACACTACCTATTGTGTCAATTTCTTTTCCATGTCTCTGTTCTGAAAGCTCTGAATGCTTTCCACTACACTCACACTGCCAGAACCAAGCTCATCCTTAGCTGGTGACACCAACCAGTCGTTCCCCTTTGCTCAGGGCTTTTAGACTGCATAGGAAGGCATGGACTTTGACTCTCAGAGTTTATTTTACGTAAGTTCACTACTGATCTTTGACCTCAGGCTTCCAAATCACTGTCTGTTAACTCAAACACCACCGCTAATTTCAAATCATTCAATCTGACTCACCCACAAGAATCTGCCAAGTTTCTATGAAAAGGTGCTCCGACCTGGTGTGTTAGGGACCTTGCTATAGACCCTTTCACACTGCTGTGTAGCATCTTACCAACGAGATTAAATTGCCCTTTTCATGAGGGACCCCTAAGCCACCCCATGTTCTTTGTTACTTTGGCTATTATCCTAAAGGCTATCAGCCTGAAAAGCAGGAAGGCCCCACCATCTGACCACACCTTTTGCTATCTCACCCTGTCCCGCCAACTGGACCAAGCACAGGCCTTGTTCTTAAAAGCAAGCAGGGAACTTATCTGTCTGGTTGAATGAATTTCTGATTCATCCCATGGGAGCACAGGCTTCAAGTCAGCAGCTAGAAAACCTACTGGCTGTTTGGTCTGGGGTATCACCTTCACACAAATGACAGCAACTGTGCTTGTCAGTCACAATAATGAGAGGGAAGGCTCATACCTCACCCCTGATGACTTTTCACTCTATTCAAGTTAGCACTTTTGTTTGAGTAAGATAACAAAATGGTGAAAGGAAAAGATACCTTAAAGCATAGCAGTCTAGTCCATATGGACTGAACACGTGTATCCAACAAGCAATAACCAGTGCATGTCATGGACAAGGTGCTTGACATTACCTGTAAATGTTTAAGGTGAAATACCCAACCTGTTCTGCTGTATATTTTAATAGCACACTTTAGCCTGAGTAACTACTGAGCCTTTTTCCTTCCCCTAGATCCTACATCATTAATCAGCATACTGAGATGGAGAAAAGTTACATGGAATTACATCCCAAGGCAGCCCACAGAATAAAAATAACTTCATACAGAAGAAGTCCTCTACAAAAAGATAAGGGGACTTGGAAGATCCAGGATGTAGTGGATGTGAAAGCGGCATGTGAAAGGCCCTTGGTTGAGGCACCTTCCCCCCTCTCTCTCCTTGGATTTCTTTATGTGCCACCATCTGGGATCCTTTGGGCTTGATGAGTCCCAGCCACAGCAGTCACAGCAACACTGTGCCCTCACCCTTTCCCAGCCAGCTGTGGCCCTCGAGCCTAACTCTGCACGCTCAGCTCACACATCTTTAACCACATCAAATGGTCACACCAGATGTGCCCACCTGTTTCCAACAGCCAGTACAAGTGTTGTGTGTTATTCAGCCTGTTTCTTGGATAAACCCCTGCCAGTCAGGCTCCCTCTGCAGACTCCTGGCAACACCACTGCCTCCCAGCAGTCTCCCAGCAACACTCCCTCCGCACAGATGGGCTCCCAATCCCTCCTCATAGGCTAGCCACACACTGTGGGCTCCTTGGAGCCAGCTTTAGTTGATAAAACACAGAGCTCAGCCCTGCAGAGCCACCGAGATGGCTCCTAATATGGAAGAGAAGCAGGAAGGTTGGCAAGAACTTACATTCAAGGTCAAGAGTCACATCATTTCCATTAAAAAGAAATGCTCCTAAGCTCTGGACAAGGATGGCAACAGCAAAAACACATGGGGAAAACCACTGCCCTGTTTTATTCCCTATTTCCAGCTTCCCCATCCAACCAGCAGTGCTTGAGAAAGTTGCTTGCTGGAGACGGGCAGCCCAAATCTTACGGCTTGGAACGACATCGGACAATCTGGTGCTAAAACGATGACTTGCATTTCTGCACACTGCACCAGCTCTAAGTTTTATTTCCTGCCTGACCTCTTCTCATCTACGTTTGTGTTTACAGAGTAAGGCACTCAAAGTTCCTTTTACACACTATCAGTGTGCCTTACAGGGTTTGTACTCTTTTGCTTCTCCAAGATGCTGAAGTTGAGGCATTCCCAGGATGGAATCAAAGATATCTTCACAAAGTCATGACCAATAGAGCCAAGCCACTGCAGTGGAGCAGAGGCACACACCGGGAACTGTGCACACTTGAGCTGGCACTATCAGTTCTTCCAACTGTTGGCACTGAATTCATTCAGTACTTACCAGGGAAAAAAATAATCTCTACAAGCCAAACACCAACTACAAGTAAAACTGAAAGCATTAACAGATTAAATCCGCCCCTGAGCGCCGAAGGCTCTCACCATAAGGCTCTTTATTAGGAAGTTAAGTCTTAACAAGTGGCTTAAGGGGTGGATAAAGCTTTTCCTGGGATAATCTGCCAGCATGTTGCCCAGTGCCAGTTCCAGGCCATGGGAAGAAGAAAGCAAAAATACAGAAGATGCTAAAAATCTTGGTTTGGCAAATGGATGACCAGTAGCTAAAAGCTCCTCTCCTAACTTTGCCCTCTGAAGCTCCCTGCCATCTTCAAAAAGTCAAATAAAAGTGATTTTCTACTCTGGTAGTTTCCTGGAAACAAAACCACATTGGGATTACACTTAAAATGCATGTGCTCACCCTAATTCTGTGTACCATCAACCTTCCAGAGTTTGCCTCCATCATGTTTATTTGAACCATTTGCCAATTAACACAAAGTTATTAACACTTTTATAAAAGACTGTCTTTGGACAACACCGCCACGGTAACAACATCATGATTTCAAATACTTTCCTTTTTTTTTTCTTTGCAGACACCAATTCACAAGGGGAAAGATGGAAACCTAGTAATGGAAGGTCAGAAGCCATGTTTTGTTTATAATTCTCTCCTTTTCAAGTCTACTGCTGATTTGCCTTATACTTAAGAAACAGCAATGCAATCAATGTCTGCTTTTCCCCAAAGCACTGTGCTGCTCTCCTGGCCCTGCACCCTTGTGCACTTACTGCAAGAGATCCGTTCTGCGTGCTGGCCGTGTTCGTGCTCTGCTCTCCGTGCGGCTGCGTGCTTCCGTAGAGTGTCAGATTGTGCTCGCTGGTCTGGCCTGCATAGTCCTGAGTGTGTGGCACCCCGTACTCTGTGGGAATCCCATTCTGTGGGGGTGGCGGAAATGGGATTGTGGTGAATGGCTGCACCATTGCATCAGGAGTTGCTGCTGGCTCCTGGTTACCCTGAAGAAAGGTAAAGGAGAAAACAGATTTATACTACAGAAGATAGATCGAAACGTCAGCCCGAGAAACAACACACGTGTACATGTGAACATCCCACCCACCATCACCATAATATTGCACAGTCTTCTATTACCTGTTCTATCAGAAAGAGCATGCCTTACTCCTCTGAGCCATGACACTGTTTTCTTAATCTTTTCAGAGCAACTTTTTTGCTAATGGCTGGTGCATGGAGAAAAAATTATGGGGTTTGCAAATTGCATACCCCTGTGATCTCACACAAAGCTTTACACACAGTAAAGCATTATTTTGGAAGGGGGAAGAGACACTGAAACATTGGAACAGAGAAGGAAACACAAAAAGAAGATCAGGCTTCTTTAATATCCCTGAAAGTACCGTAACTGGGTCCATCTCCTCCAGCCTGACACTCATTGCTCTGCTCACAAGCAAGCACATCATGTGGTTCAGAGCATGACTCTTTGTTATGTTACAGTAATAAAAAGTTTACTTTTTCAAACCCATCTGTGCAGATGCCCCCTTCTTTGCTCTGGCAGCACTGAGTACACAGCACAGGTGCTCAGGTATCAATTGTTGGAATATCCACTTTCCTGCTTGCTGGCCACGCAGAAGACACCAAGGACCTGTAGGGAACTGAGTTGAGACTGCAAGCCTGGAGCACACTCGCTCCTTCCCGTTCCTGAGCATCCCTGCTATCACACAAGACATTAATCACCCACTCCTCCCTTAGCTTTGGGTATCCCACAGAGACCTCTGTGCTAGGATAGTGGGCTTTTTAGAAGCTTTTAGCACTGTCTTAGATGTTGCTGACATCAACCAGATGACTCAGAAACAGAGACCTGACCATGCAAAAGAAATCCCAAAAAAACAGTAAAAAAATGTTACACCATCATGTCAAAAAAACCCACAATAAGCAAACAAAAAAGCATGCAGCTCTGCAGCCTCTGCAGGGATCTCACCAAAGGGGGAGCAGGGAGCTGCATTCAGCCACCTGGGGTGAAGGAGAACAGCCTTGACATTGAAGCCCAACCCTGGGAAGCCCAGGCTGCTGCACTGCTCCTACTGCTTCATCGCCGCAGCAGAAAAAAAATCCACAGAAAAGATTTATGATAGGAGGGCTGTTTGATTTATGTGCATGTCAACAGACTGATCCTGATTTTAAATTTTGGCTGCTGTTCCAGCCCTGGGTCCTCCCCCATAAAGTCCGGAGGTGCTCGAGCCTATTCTAACACCAGCATGCTTAAATCAATGGAGTAAAAGCGAAACAGACCTTATCCCAGGGGTAGGAAAGGCAGAGTGGGAATTACCAGGCAGCCTTTCAGCAAAGAGCGCGCAGGACCTGACAGACCTCCAGTGAAGCTGGACAAACCTCTAATTCCTTTTATCAGCCTACCTGCAGCTTTCCCTTCCGGGCGAAGGAAACAATGATAAACGCAGCACACCTCCAGCCAGCACCGGGTCATTCAGACACTGGCTGAATCCCAAATTTGCTCTGACATTAGTCTATCTGGTCTGCCTCCCCTGGGGGCCACGTGGCCACACGCTCCTGCAGCTGGGGAGAAGGAGAGGGAAGGGCATTCAATACCACTTAGCAGAGCCAAGCTAAAGCCTTGGCCTGCACCGGGAACGGACCGTTTCATTAACTCAAGTGCAGCCACTGCAAAGCCTTGCTGCCTGCAGAAACACAAAACTCTGCAGCCTTATCTGAGAAAGAAAAATCCAGGCACGCACGCCAGCCACGGCCAGTGCTCAGTTCCTTGCACGCACTCCCCCAAGCCGTTGCAGCCCTGCGTCGTGTGCTCGCGGGTCTGCAGGGGTTTTTTCACACACCAAGCACATTTTCTGAAAGCAGAACAGGATTTTTTAGTTTTCTCCCCCAAAAGGAGGGCAGTTCCACCAGCACTCTGCTTCTGCTCATTCCTTTGCCATTCTCAGCTTCAAAGCAAGGCACTTCTGACTCAATCTAAACTCACCAAGATCTGCAGAGCTGAGTTCTGAAACGGGAGGCAGGAGAGGCAGAACGATGGCTGTCCCACTGCAAACCAGGTATCAGCAAACCCTATCGCTCACTTGCTCACACTGTTTATCCCCTGACATGACAACTCCATTCCGTCCACACACTGTCTCCTTTCCAAATTCTTCTGCTTACAATATTTCATTGTATTTGATTGTCCGTGTGCTACGGCCCACACTGTCTGCCCCTTTCTTACATTTAAAACAGAACTAAATATGAAATTGATTTTTTATTTTAAGTTAAAAAATTGATAGGGTAACCCCAGAAAAGATGCAGGTGCAGAAACTGTTTCCAATTTTCTCAGAACAAGCTAGATTTCCAAGCCAGTAGCATCCCAGATCAGAGGAACAAAATGCTAATTAGCTCTAAACAAAACCTATTCTGCCATCCTCTCTACAGTGCAGGGCTGCTCCCCAAAGGACACAGTCCAGCATCTTGTTTAATCTCACTCTTAGACTACTTAAAATGCCAGCCCATGAACCTTGTATAATCTTATTTTCAGTGGTTTTACCCCTCAGTTAATACTGTTCCCTCCAGTTTAAATGCATTTGAACCTTTTTAAATATTTTCTTTCCCTTCTATTATCTACAAATGCTTGAAGGATGAAAAATGCTTACTCTCTCTTCTGTTGCTTGTGGCATTTTGATAATACGTATTTATTTTGAGTTTAATCACACCTCTCAAGCCAAAATATCCTGGTAACTTTATTTATTACTTCTCTCTGACCTTCCTAAGATTTTCAAAGAAAGGATTTCTGGTGCCAAATGAATGTTTTTAATACCATTGTCACTTCCCCCCCCCTCAAATCACATTAACATGCAAAAATCATATATCTTTTATTACAAATGTATCCTTCATTTAATGTCTCAGGTTATCTGGAGATTTATCACCATTATGTTTGTCCAGGTTTCATCTTCCCATGGAGCATCTGTATCTCAAATTATTTCTCTCTTTATATGATTATGGACATATTTCCCATCTGATTTTTTCTGTAATTTTAATTTCCTTTGGTGCTTCAGAATTACTTTTTTCTCTGTTTCCACTAGTGTCTGCAGAAAAGGACTCCCGATGAGATCTCTGCAGGTTTCACAGCATACTGATATCCTCCAAACCCAGAGGAGATTCTACCTCTTCTATTATTCTGCTAAATTTCAACATTTACACACTTCATATTTTCAAGAACTAACACAGGACACGCACAAAAAAAATCCCATTGATCTTCAAACATAGAATCTGAACTGGTTTCCCTCGTTCTAACCCACCATAGAGAATTCTGCAGTCAGAGGTGCTGCTTCTCATACTTCTCAGGAGGTACAAAGAGCACGAAGAAACCCCAAGTTTTCCAGCTGAAGGTACGTACTTGGGAGGAGAGACTCAACAGAAAGTATTTTGTCCACCCAATCCTGACAACATACCTCACTGTATTGCCAGTCCTGCCTGCTCTAGCCATGAAAATCTCTAACATCTACTTAAATGCAACAAGAAACCCAGATAGGTATGTCCAAGGCAATTACCATCCCCAAACACACACAAGGACACCATCACAAGACTAGGAAAACCCGGCTGCAGCTCCCCCCAAAAGCTAGTGTCGTCTTAAACTTCTGTGAGGGCATGAAATAAATCTTAACTAATGATCAGGAGCAGACAGACACTTCTCTTGGCCACAATGCATCAGGCCAGCAGTCTTCAGGAGGGGAGTGTGATGGACATTTGGTTGCAGGAATAATTGTGGCAATTCCAGATCATCCAATTCCCTCCACAAATTTGTGCTGCCATGCACCAACCACAATAGCTGTCATCCCATGCTCAGTCTGGGAAAGGCTGGTCAGTGCAAGTGGAACTCAGTGTAATTAACACATAATGCTTAAAAAAAGGAAAACACCTCAATAGGATACATGGTAACCTCAAGTTCCAAAAAGAAGTAATTCCTGTGTTTGCTATTCATTCTGTTGCTCTACTCCCACATTCATTCACATCAGGTGGGAATTCAAAGCAGCCCTTCTCTTGCAGAATGTTGGCATCTGATTCATCAGCACTCAAGATTTCAGAGCACAAGAAGGATATGGGTATTCATCTGGGCTCCCTATTCTCAGCCCTACAAAGGTCTAGTCAGGTCCTTGCAGGTGCCAACTTTCTTCCGTAAGTCAGGGTTTTTCCTACACTGCTCATTACAAATCCGTCCCACATTTTGTTTAAAAAACAAATTAGCTAAAACAGTGACATTCCCTAATGGGGACACATTTCTTAGAGTTTATGCAGCTTTAACTTAATTAACGAACTTTGTAGCTCCAAGCTAAGCAGAGGAATGATAAGTAAATGCACGTAGTGGTAACTTGTGGAAGGGTGGGAACTGGAGATGATGTCTCAACAAGGAGCAAAGTGGTTCAGCAAATGCAACATAGGATGAATTCTTTCAGCAGACAGCAGGTGGTGATCCAAGATCACTGCACTGGAGCGCCAAGAGCAAACACCAGAAATGCACACAAAGGCCTCCTACTTCCATAAAACTGTCAAAGATCAGTGAGTTTTGTGAAGGAGTGGTTTTGTTTTGCTCATTAGAGAAACGGATGTAATTACAGGAATATGAAAGGAGCCTTATAGCAATGCAGGTCCAGATCTCTTCTGTATTGGTACACCATAATATGCATATTTAGTAAAGCATAACCACCCAAATAAAAATTATTAACCTGGTAAAGCTAAACTGGTACAATTTCTGTACAGACATGGCAAACTGCCACGAGGTAACCCATCTGAGCTATCCATAACCCTGCAATGAATCATAAGCATCACAGAAAGGTGCAGAGAAATGGTACAGCATATAAACACCAAATAATCTCTTAAAAATGCCTTCGAACTCTGCTAACCCCCAAATCACTGGTATAGATGTGAGTATAAGCCTATTAGTGGAATAGGGTTTCTAATAGGTATATCTTCACTGAACTAATTTTATGAAACCTTGAAGCAACTGACT